TGAGGGAGGTTGCTGGTGCTGTTGACGGATTTGGAGGAGAAGTTCGCGGCCGACGTTCGTTTTACGTGTGGGAGGACGCAGAGTTGAAAGCTGGGGAGAAGATACAGAGGCGGATAGAGTGTTGGGGGAAGTATCGGTAGTGGAGACGTGAACTCTGCGTTCTGTAGACCCCGCCCACATGGAGTTGAAGTATTTTTTGTTGGGACGTTGGACGGGCTTGAAAGTGGCTTCCGCTGCCATTTTGACACGGCGAGAATGCTCCTGCGTACACAGCAGGGGTAAGTACTGGTTGCATCAGCGGAGAAATGATGTCTTACCAACGCGCGGACTTCAGGGGTGGTGGGCGAGCTGGGAGTTCTGGTGGGTGCAAACGGATCGTCTAGAAGCACTGCCCGGGAGTAGGGCACCCCCGAGATACTAGAGCGAGACGCTGTGTGTGTGTTGCTTGACAAGGTGGTGCTGGTGAATGGTCTATTGCCGACCCATTTCTCAGGACTGTGTTGACGCCACTTCGGATGAGCCACGTACTCAGCTGTCGTCGGAGGTTCCGGCGTCGCTGTGCCACCGAGCACGGTTGCTCTTGAACCATGCGCGTTCCAGTAGAGACGTTCATACACGGCACTTCTCCGTCTTCGTCGTGCTGAGCCGTCTCCATCTTCACTACTTGTGTCTTCGTCGGCTTGATTGACTCTCTCGGGCGATGGCGGGCAATCTGCAGCGCAAGTGGTTCTTCGCTTGGAGCCTCTGGAACCATCTGATCGTTCGTCCTCGTGTTCACTTCTCGCGTTGTTATCGGCACAGACGATATCTTCCACGAAGTACTTGGCACACGATAAGGGTTTGTTTTTCAAGAAAGCCATCGGCGGCTGGATCTCTTTGTGTTTTTCTCGAGTTTTTTCGAAGTTGACGATCCGTTCGGCATATTTTTCACGTGGCAAGTCAACCTCACCGTGGGGTGATTCGATACGGCGGATATATTTCCCACCCCCCTTGTAGATAGCGCGAGGCGAGTATAAGCTGTTCGAAGGAACAGAGTTTGAGTGATCGGTAATTGTCTGGAGCAAATTTAACTTACCCATTCTTCACGTCTCCTCCGTGCTCCAGCTCCTTCTTTCTTACTCGAGGCCTATCCGAGAACGTGGTGTCAATTACCAGTATTAAAAACACTCCGTTAAAGCAAAGCGGACACACATGTAGGCCCTCGAATAGTCCTCTTTGGCATAGTCTTTGCCCCATTCCTGAGCAGGAGCCTCTTTCATCCAGTCGCCTACACGATCCAAATACGACTTATGCATCTCCTTCCTGGTAGCAAGCAATCACAGGCTTTCAGTCACAGAATGTATCGCCCAGTTTTACGAATCTAGCGACTCACATGGATTTCCCGTAAATATGTTTCGTCTGCCGCTCGTGAGCAGCTCGTGACGGCGATGCTCCATTTTTCTTGGCATGTTTTAGCCGAGCAGCTTCTTGCTCAGATCGGGTCTTCCTCCACCGCACGACGTCGAGCGAGAACATGACCGAGCGACTCACAAATGCATGAACCCACACGGCTTAACCTGAACAATATATTTATAGCTCGTAGCAATACTACATGCTACCGGCACATTGTACGAAACTTGGGGTAACGACAGCGAGTACTGGCGATAATCAGTCATACGGCTATATAAAATAAAAAAATGTTTTTTGCCCAATCGGGGCAAGTTTAACCCCTTTTGTTAATAAAATTGTATTTTTGTCTGAGTCTGGCAATAAGAAATATTTCACTGTCAATTTGTGTGAAATGATAATATTGCTCAAATTTATTTTATTGACCATTTCCTCGAGTACTTTACTGTCGATGCCGTTCTGATGAATTTGTTTAATGCGTACCTAAAATCGTCCTATTCCTAAAGATGTGGCCTAACGATGGATTCCAAAAACTTAGCCTAAAAACAGTGTGTAAGACGCGGACAAGTCGCCTAATGACCTAAACTGTTTTGTAATGACAGAACATGCGAAACACATGCATTTACTGTCCAAAACACACAGCAAATCATTTGTATTGGCTAAAGTAAACTTTTGACCTCCAATGCGTCGCAATAAGGCATAATTGAGTCTCACAGGTAGTAGCTACGCTCCACACTTGCGCGGCGTTGCACCGCCAACTTCGCTTCGCTCGGACGGCGCGTAGGCCGGAGTAGGTTCAGATGACATCATTCCGCACCCTGTCGTCACTTAGGCCTGTCCTCACTGGCGCAAGAGGCATTCCAGACCGATCTTGTGGCGACTGCATTCATAGGTTCA